CAAGAATTTGTTAAAATTGTGACTAAAATGACTAAAAATTTTGGTAGACGTGCTAATATGGAAAGAGTTTCGCGAAATCTCTGTATAGATTGGAGAAAACCTGAAAAATTATCTGGTTTTCATATAGATACAGTCCTAAAAATATAATTGTGTATAATTTTTACATTGATGCTTCTTTTTTCAGATAGTGCACGCGGCACTCGGGCTGGTGCGATCTAATATTATAATCACGTTGTTCCAAGTCGCCAGTCGTGTCGTGGTTGTAGCTGGAGTTATCCTGGCTACGCCTACCACGTACGCCGCTGCGTCTCTGGGTCTTCCGCTGGCTCTCACCGCGTGGTCCATCACGGAAATCATCAGATACTCGTACTATTTCGCAAATCTCGTCGGTATTGTGCCGCACGTGCTGGTCTGGCTGAGGTAAGCTTGGTCTCCATCATCTCCTCTGCGCTTCAAGCTACCCTTATTTACATTTGAGATTGCATTATCAAGCGGAAACGTGCTTCCAGATACACCTTGTTCATCGGACTGTATCCGCTGGGCGTGACCGGTGAATTGTTGTGCTTCTACGCCGCCGTCAAGTACGCCAGCGCTTATCCCAACTCCTGGAGCTATCCTCTACCAAACGCATGGAACTTCACATTTAGCTACCTGTACACCCTGATAGCAATCATGCTAACTTACATTCCAGGTGAATGTAGAGAGTGAAAAAGACCGTTTAGCGGAGTAAACGTGAATTCGTGAATTATCCATTGGTTTGTTTGCAGGTTTCCCGCCGCTTTATCTGCACATGTTCGCGCAAAGACGTAAAATACTTGGCCCCGCGAAGGAGAAACATTAGCTTATAAGTCTGCATAATGAATATTTTCTTAAGCATTTGTAACTTTCATGAATATTTATATGTACAGAGGAAATTATGGGAGGGGGATTTGTACGAGATGTTATTAAAGAATGGTTACACAAAATGTTTTATGAAAAAAGTGCGGTTCTTCCGAAAACGAAGATTTTACTCGCGTGATCCAGTGCAGTCTCCGTTATCAGAGATTGCTAAAAAAAAAAAAAAGAATTTTAAACAGCAATTTTATTACACCGGAAAGATTCCTGTATTATCGATGCAGCTTAGAATTGTTATAAGCCGGAAGATGGGTCGTGCTTGTAACGCGAGTACATTGTAGAATCGGAAAATATTACTCAATTTGGCTTTATTGTTTCTCAACGACGTGAGTTACGACGACGAGTCTCGTCATTTTACTTTTTAACATTGCTTCGCGGCAGCTTCGTGCTGATAAAGCGAGGAAACTTGGTTAATAAGCCGCATAACCTTTAAGGGCCAGTTCCACAAACGTTGGTTAACTGTTAACCAGAGTTCAGTCAACGCCCTATCTTTTTCTATCTTGTTCTCTAAGAAGAGACAGAGGATTAGTTAACCTTCGGTTAGCAGTTAACCGACGTTTGTGAAACTGGCCCTAAGACTTTCGCGTTCACTGTTTTCGATCCGTTGTCGAGTTCTAACTTTCAGCCGAGAAGTGGTATTTATCTGTTTTTGTTAATCTACCCTCAGATAAGGTACGATGAGGCTCACGCGGATATTGTACAAGCAGAATATAGGTAGGCAGATTAAAAGCGTGTGGTACGTAAAGCGAGAGCGCAAAGTGAAGGACAACAAGACGGAGCAATACCTGTCGACGCTGGGGATTCCGGTGAAAGACGCCGCAGAAGTGGTCGATCAGAAGCAGGAGCTTCCAAAGTACTCTTCTCTCCAGAATTCTGTCTCTCGCAGGTGTCGCGTGTATCCGATACTAATTGCAGATTGTATGTTACACAAGGCTGCAGCTGGAGTTTCTGAAGCCAAGGCAGATAGCGTTTGACGAAACGCATCCCGACTGGAAAGCTCGGGCTTGCCTGGTGTTTAAGGATCATAATGTTCTGCAGGAAGGATTTTGCCAAGCGCAGGTGTTGACGAACACCGTGTGTCTGCCCGACGGTTCCTTGAATTATATCCAAGATTCGTTGCCGGATCTGCCGGAGCATGTGGACGACATAGTGAAAAGGTACGTTAGACTTGTTCTCTTCGGATTCTCGTGCGTGTACTGAATATTCCTTGGCACTCTCTAGGATAGTTTATAGTTCGAACATATTTGACGCTCATCAAGAGCAGTTACCAAAGAGGAAGGATCCTAAGAGACCTGCGTGGGTGTTTCCCAGAGAATATGGCATAACCAACAATAGAAAAATGTTAGTAACTTGAAACATTATTTTGACGGCAAGAGTATCTGTGCATTTATACCTGTTTCTTAAATATTGAATATTCTCGTAGGCGAAACCTGTCTAGGAAACTTTTACAACTCTGCGAGACATTGTCGGGTCCAGATATCGCGCAGAAGCGATGCATTTTGTGTGACGGGATAACAAAGTTGAGCTTAGGTAACTCGTTGAATATTTGAACGTTGCACCCGACATTCTATTCGAATATCTCGTAACATAAAATTTCCCAGATAAAGAATCGGACCTCTTCCAATTTACCCTAAGATCGGACGTGACGGTCACGTCGGCAGATCCTTTGAAACCAATAGGAAGTTCCAACAGCGCCATGGAAATAGATCTCCCGAATATACATCCATTGCATTACACCATCGGTCTGGACAAGACAAACGTCTACAGAATTGAGGACATGTATCGTAAGTTCGATGTTCGTTATTTCCAACGTATACAATGCACTTCTGATAATTATAGGGGAGTCCCCTATTGTGAGATAGGCTTCTAATATGAGATAGCAGGTTTTCATCGTTCAAATTTAATCACAAAGCTTTTGTCGCAACAATTACGCGGTCCAACAATGAATTAAGGACAGGAAATTCGTGGTGAAACCAACAGATGATGCCTATTAATTTAGCAGAAACTTTGTTATCTCACATTAGTGGCTTTCTCACTTGGTTAGCTCGCATTAGGGAGTTTATCTCATAATAGAGAACTTTAATAACAGCTGTCAGCTCAACATTGCCCTGGATAAACGTCCACACCATCTTTGTGCACTACGACCCCGTGGAAGTGAAAAATTTAACGGAATTGGCTGTGACGCAGAATCAGGTTTTCGGTCGCACTCTGCTGAAGGCGTACACCGTGACGGCGTCCTGCGCCCGGCAGAAGTTCGGTTCGTCCGTGAAGGAACTGCCGGAACCCGTGACCGTGCAGTGCATTCAATCGGACGGGAGGGACTACCACTTTTTCATATTTCAACTCAATTCGCTGGACACCAATGACGCTCGCGTCAAGAACTTCTGGTGTGCTCTGCCGCCGTTGACGCTCTACGATAAAGCTGAATACGATAACGGCAGGCCAGTAGTCGAGGGATACAATCCGGAGGTATTCAGAAGAATACTCGCGTTTTACAGGAATGGAAATTAAACGAGGTCTGTTAAATAAAATCGTTAATCGGATCTTTCCGAACTTTTCTGCAATGAATATCTTGTCATTTATACCAATAGTATACCATCGATATCGTCACGACGGTCATCGTTACGCAATGCTTAGAAGATTTTCAAAAAGTGTACTCGGCTGCACGTTCGGATCGATTTCCTTCGATTTTACGCGAAGGCGATGATCCGACGGTGGCTTTATTAGATTCTTCATAGAGGGATATGGCTTGGAGTAAAAGTATACGTGACACAATGCCTGCAACAATAAATTCCTCATTTCTATTTGTGTCATGTATATTTGTTCCTTCAGTTACTTTCTAACGTAATTAAAGTAATCGAAGAAGCAAAAATAATAGCTGATAAAAAAGCTGAGGGGCAACATCTTTGTATTATATTATATTATCATTATATAATTTATTAATTTCACACATTACCTGTTCAGCTGTGAGACGTTTCGAGGAATTGTAAATCAAAATCTGCCTGATTAGATCGACAGCGTCCGGCGGCGCGTCTTGAACGATGCTCTCCCATGTCGTGCCTTTGTGATAGGGGAAGGTGATTTTGTTGTAGTCCGGTAGCGAGCTAAGCTCGGGCCAGGATTCGGACGTAGGAGAGCCCAGATATTTCAAGACGATTGCCAGTTGCTCGATGTCAGTCTCGCCCTGCAGTTGTAAATAAACAGCTACGTAATTTAACAATCCATTTCAGTCGAGAGGGACTTATCTACCGGAAATAGCGGGGAAGCGTTCAGCATTTCGCCGAATATGCAACCGATCGACCATATGTCGATCGCGGACGTGTAGTAGCGTGCCCCGTAAAGCAGCTCCGGCGCCCGGTACCACCGTGTGGCGACCTGATGCGAGTACGGCTTCGTGCCGTCCCGCCACATCAGCCTGCTCAAGCCAAAATCGGCGATCTTCAGGATGCCTCGGTCGCTGATCAACAAGTTCGCAGGTTTCAAATCCTAAAATGCGATACCCAATACTCGTCCGACACTTCAGACGTGATTACGCACACCTGGATCTCCTCTAAGACAAAAAAATCGGTACCCTGTGTATTATATTCTTGCCGTGCACGTACGCTGTGCCCTCCAGCAGCATTTTCATGTAAGTTTTAATTTGCGCCAGCGTCAAGGATATCTCGGAGTCTCGCAGTATTTCCCAGAGGCCCGTGGGCATGTACTCGAACACCATCACGAAGTCTAGGCCGCTCGGGAAGGCATCCAGCAGCTCCACGACCTGCGAACAAATGGCGATAAATTCAGTGAATCGATACAGAAGAGAATCTCTGGAGAATCAGTGGACGCTTTAGCCCACATTCTGAATTCTCTTTCATCGATGAAAACGTTTGTAAAAGATCCTTTCAGCAATAAGAATTCTTGAAAGCCAATTTTAGTGGCACTTTTATCGATAAAAGAGGATTTACAGAATATCGACCTTTGGATTTAAAAAAGTCCGCGAGCGCTTTCTCCTTGAAAATTTAGGAAAATATAAGACGCTGGATAAGAGAGAGCGTACGTAGGGATGCTTGAGCTGCTGCAAACTTTTCACTTCGCGTATGATGGATGCGGGTAGCCCGCCTTCGGCCCTTTTAATCATAATCTTCTTCAGCGCCACTTCCCGATCCTGGGATGTATCGCGCGCCTTCAAGACCAAGCCTTGCGCCCCTTCGCCGATCTGGCCGTTTATGATATATTTCTCCATGTTCCAGTCCAGAAATTTATGTTACCAAGATTATCGACAGCACATCATTACTGTTAACTGTAACAAACAATACGCGAGTCAGCAAGGTATAGACAATTAGCTTTACAACATAATGAAAATAGACGAAACTTGCGTAGCGCATAAATGCACAAGGAACCCGATTGGGCCACAAGTGCATAAGCAAGTTTGTCTGGATAGGTCCAGTTAAAATACAAATACAATCAATAAGTTATGCATTTAACTGTCGTATCTCTAAATACGCAAAATACGACTGACGGAAATAACTAGAGATACTTTCTTCACGACTAATGCCTGGTTTCACCAACGTCGCTTAACGTTAAGCTTAGTTCAATTCGTTCTTTGTCTCCTTCCAACTCCCAGAAAACATTTTGCGCGCAAACATTACGACGACGCACTTGGATAGAATTTTGCTCGCGTTGTTGAGCCATTTTTGTACGCGAGTCGACAGATATTTGCGCGCAAAATTATACGTTGATACACGCGCTAGCCGCTTGCGTGCAAAAGCACAGACTGAACATATCTTTCGGGCAAATCGCATACAAATTTGCATGCGTAAGACAAGTAAAATTTGCGCGCAAGAATTGTTATCTGGGCTGTTACTTCAGAAAGAGACAAACGTGAATTGAACCAGGATTAAAGTTGAGCGACGTTTGGTGAAACTGGCCCTTACTTTACTAAGATTTTAAAAAAATATACGAAACGAAGATTAACGCTCATCCGAAGGTATCCTTTAAAAATGTAATGCAAAGAGAAATTAATTGTCAGCGAGAGCGCGATATCGTTACTCCGCGGCGTGGAATAAGCGTGCTTTTCAGTCTCCATGGTTACCAGTGCGGTGCACTCTGTATCACGGTGTAAAGACACAAGGTGAAACATTGCGCATGTAGCCAATTTTTGGGGCAAATTGTTCATTGGCTCTTCCTGCATTCAACCGCAATGATTGGCAGTTGGAACGTTGGGGCAAATTTCTGATTGGTCAGTTCGGTAGTTTGGGCCACTTCCGATTGGTTGACACTGCGCACCCACCAGATCGCTCCACCTTGCATCTTTACACCATGGCGGTACCTTTAAATGTACTCTTCGCGCCTCTCCTCTCTCTCTCTCGCCAACGTTTGATCACGCGCCTGTCTCGTGTCAGGTGCACCTAAAGTCGTCCGTTCTGCTTGCACTTTCCAATATTTTTTACATCGAGAACGAGACAGACGTACGTACAAATTCGTGTGTTGGAAAGAGAAGGAGCGAGTACGCGAGGAGCAGTTGAAGCGGGCGTCGCGATCGCTCGGCGCTCCGTGGCGCGTGCGCGAGCGCCTGTCAAAATTGTCGCACACGCCTTATCAATCTTATCATCACATTTTACGATACGCGTCAGTGTACTTTGCGGTCACGCGGAGAGAGCGATCGAGCGATCGACTTCCTTCGATTAACCTGAGCTTCCTTCCGGGGAGGATTGACGGCTGCGTGGTGTCCAGGTTGTTTGACGTACTCTCTGCAAATGGTGCGCGTGTAAGCCGAGTCACACGGAGAGGAGTGAACGGTAGGCGGACGAGACACGACGGCAACGATGAAGCAACAGATAGCCGATTCCAAGGCGAATCCCGGCGCGACCGGGGAAGCCGACGACTGTCTGTTCGAGTATCTGCACGCCGAGCTGGTAAACTACGTTCTGAGCAGGTCGTCCAACGCCGCGGTGAGTACAACCGGCCGTGGGAGATCGGCTGTTAGCCGCGCAAAAGTTATCGACTTGCTGTTGTCGACAGGAGGGCGAGGAGGAGCTCTCGCGCCTGGAGTGGATGGGCTTCAGCGTCGGTTACAGGATCATCGAGCGGCTGACGAGGGAGTGGAGCAGGTTCAAGGACGAGCTGGACATGATCAAGTTCATCTGCACCGACTTCTGGTCCAGCCTGTATCACAAGCAGATCGACAATCTCAGGACTAACCACCACGGCGTGTACGTGTTGCAAGACAACGCCTTCAGGCTGCTGGACAAGGTTGGCACGAGCAGCAGCAAGCAGTACCTCAAGGAGAGTCCGCGCCTGCTGGCTTTCACCTGCGGCCTCCTCCGAGGCAGCCTGGCGAATCTCGGTATTATCAGCACCGTCACAGCGGAGACCACCACGTTACCAAGCTGCAAGTTTCACGTTCAAGTTCAAAAGATTTAATGGCCATTCGGTATGGGCGACTCGAGAAGTAAGAAGGCGCGGAGGTGTAAAAAAAGTACATACATAGCAGAATCTCGGTACGAGATTCAAGGGGATACGATAAGATATTCGTCGTATAATTATATATATTTCTATTTGTATTTAATGGGCAGAAAATAAATTATTAATATTCCTGGAGATGAAACAGGTCTGACATTTGTCTCGTGCGTGCGTATAACCGTGTGCATAATTAGTGGACCCGATTCTAGAGTACATTCGAGATAAGATATTGACGTATATTCATAATCTCGTATTTTTATTTTGCTCGTCTGTATTTGCACGTTGATTCGTGGAATTGCTACAAAGGTGAAAAGTGCAGCTTAGATGCGTAAAACTGTAAATGCTAAAAGAGATATTAAAAACTTGTATCACTTCACAAGAACGGAATGTATATGTACATTTCACATTGACAATGATATAAATTATCGGCCCAATTTATACAAATGTAAGGTAATAGTATTAAAATTGTAGAGGAAGGAACCGTGTAATCGGTCCTACTTATTTGAATATACGGAGCAAGCGAACAGTCTCGCTTGATCGCGTGTGACGAGATCGAATTTTATACAATTCCGTTATTTTTCATCGCCATCATCCTTGGTGATAAAATTAAAAATATCGCGCTGAGTTACAAGTCCAATCGGAGCGTCTTTGTCGTTCACAACTACGGCATAGGGTTCCTTCTCGAGAATACGCGACACTCTACCGAGCGCAGTTGAGGCTGCAACTTTTGTAAACTGCTTTATCATGACTTTCTCGGCGCAGTCACTGCGATTCACCGTGCCGGAGATTAAACTGGACAGGAGCGCGTCCAACGTGACTACGCCTTTCACGCACGCGTCCTTCTCGTCGGTTACTAACAACGGCTGTACGTGATCGGCGGATTTCAAGAGGTCCGCAGCATTTTTACACGACATCCCCTTTAGCAACACATGCTTTTTTAATGGTAAATCCGATACCGGTAAGTTCCACCACCACTTGTTCGCTTCTATCGAGGGTTCAGACGGCTGAAAGAAAAATTGTTATTTAGCAAATATTCAATATCTGAAATCAACTTAAACGCCGACCGGGCAGCAAGTAATCTTACCAAGAAGTCCCTGGCTTCCATCCATTGATCGGACACGAATTTGGTCATGTAATTTCTTATACTGTCCGGCAAAAGAACGACCACGCGTTTGTCCGCGGGCAGGTCTTTCGCGATTTTTAACGCCGCCGCGAGCGCGGCGCCGCTGCTGCCGCCGCACAACAGTCCCTCCTTGCTGATAAGTTCCCGCGCCGCTATTAGTGACTCCTCGTCCTCGGTTTTCATCCACGTGTCGATCACCTTGCGATCCAGGACCGTGGGTACAAAGTCGTAGCCAATTCCCTCTAACTCGTAGAAGCCGACGCCGTCGCCATTCAGTTCGGACGGCTCCGCCAAAATGCTGCCCTTAGGATCGACCGCGATAATTTTCGTGCTAGGCGACAATTCCCTCAATTTTCGTCCAACCCCGGACACAGTGCCGCCAGTGCCGGCGCCCATTACAACGTAATCCACTTTGCCGTCGCACTGCTCCCAAAGTTCCGTCGCGGTGTGATCGTAGTGCGCCAACGGATTGCCAGCGTTGGTGTACTGGTCCAGAACGATACTATCGGGTATCTCACGCTGCAACTTCTGGGCGACGCTGATGTGCGCCTCCGGGCTGTACCAAGCGGCCTCGGTCGGCGTTCTGACTATTTTCGCGCCGAGAGCGCGTAGCGCGTAGACTTTCTCGTTCGACATTTTCTCCGGCATCACAATGATGCACTTGTAACCCTTGACCGCCGCGGCCATCGCCAGGCCGATGCCGGTGTTGCCGCTGGTTGGCTCGATAATCGTATACCCCGGCTTTATCAGGCCCTTTTCTTCCGCGTCCTGGATCATTCTGTGCGCTATCCTGTCCTTGACAGACCCTCCGGGATTGAAGAACTCGCATTTCGCGTCTGTGCGACAAGATAAGAACGCTTTTTTAAGACTTACTTGCGAAGAAAAATTGAATGTTCACCGCTGTAGAAAATATAAATTTCTTACTGACACATTTCACATTTGATCCCATGCGCTTTAGGAATGCTGTTAAGTCGTACGAGAGGCGTCTGACCAATCGCGCTTAAAACATTTGGTAATATCGTCTTACGGTTTGGTACCCTAGGAAATAAAAAAAATATATATTATATAAATCGGTATAAGAATTAAAAAAATTACCGTCGTTCACCTCGAATAAATCGCAAATAAAATCGCAAAAAAATAAATAAAAAAAAAGTTACACAGTGATAAGGAGATCTCTAGTCTAGACATTAACACAAACACGCGCACAACTATTATCTGTTACTAACTCTCTAATCTCCTATGATAGCTATCGATTATTGGAGTCATGTTTACGGTAATATTTTCGCCGAGTTTTGCAATGTTCTCCTCTCTGTCCTCGTTTCTGTGATTTTTTTTTAACAATGTTGTGATTACAATGACCACACTCGGTCCACTGATAAACTTATCTCGCAGCATATGGTGAAATCTCCCTCATCTCTTAAGATTAGCACAGCGCCGCATATGTAACGTATGGCGTCCACGCATAACAGCGAGGTGACAATGATGCGTAGACCATTGTAGACAAGATGATAAGGACAAAGCAACTCTTCGTAAAGCTTTGTGGCGAACTTACTCCGTTTGTGTGGTATGCGGCGAATTTTTCACGTTCGCTTCCCACGTGCATTTAGATGGTCGGTCCGGCCGTATCAGTTCCATTATCACAATCTTCTCCTTTCAATTATCGATCAAACGAAAGGCTCGGCTGCAATAAATTATAATAGTTAGACATATTCGAGATGCTTAAAGGCGTATCTTAGTCTGGTATTCCTAGTCAGATCTTATATTCGAGACCGTCTTAACATCATCTTCAGATGCTCCGTAACCAACGAAATATGTCTCATACAACAACTTTAGATAAATTCAAGCCGGTCTTGAATATAAGATCTGACTATGGCCGGTATTTATAGCCGGACCTTATATTCAAGGCCGTCTTGAGTTTATCTAAAGGTGCTGTACGGAACATTTCGTTGGCTACGGAGTATCTAAAGATGATCTCGAGACAGTCTTGAATATAAAATCTGACTATGAATACCGATCTTAGGCCAGTATTCATAGTCAAATTATCTTATATTCAAGACTGCCTCAGGAATATTTTTAGATACTCCGTAGCCAACGAAATGTTCCATACAGCACCTTTAGATAAATTCAAGACGGTCCTGAATATAAGATCTGATTATAAAATACCGATCTTGGGTATTTAAATATATCTTGGATATTGTTGTATATTTAATTATGCCCTGGATATTTCAAATATGTTTCAATCCACTTTATTTTGAAGTGTCTCATGTTACCAGTGTCCATTTCTATCAATGTATATAGATTCTCTAATCTCTTCTATCAATGTATATAGATAACTCTAATCTCGTTTTTTTTGCCGGCTTTAAAATTAGAAAACGATAAAAAGGCAAGTTTAAATCGAGATTAAAGTTGAATCCCGCGGAAACGGACGCAGGTTGTAAAAAATGGACGCAGCAACTTAACAGCGGAACATAAACTTCAACGTGGCAGCAGTTACACTTCTTGTGCAATTTTCTCTTGCAATTAAAGCGACGAGTGTTTCAGAGATAAAGCCACGGAAGATGCGATTACCCAGGACAGCAAAAGTCCGTCTTGCGAGGTGTCTGTTGCAAACTTCGTCGGCGGATACTTTTGCCAGCTGAAACGCGGACGGGGGATACCCGTCAGCGAAACGCGATAACCCAGATAGCGCACATAGTTGTATGAATATTCTTCTGGAGTGCAAATATTCTTAATTGCAGAATATTCCAATCGAATATTCTATAAATATATATATATATAGATTATTACAATTAGAAATCGTATATTCGTAACGAAGAAGAACGTTTTTAGAGTAAGTATTCGTCGAGAATGCCTTTGGAATATTTCATCAGAATAATTTTTTAATATTCATCGAGTTCACGTATCGCACATTGTTTATCGTGTAATACGCTTATCTTATGCAAAAGGCAGTGAAACCATGCATAACCGACACGCTACATTCGATAGATTCTTCTGTTCACATTCGAAAAAGATTTAAGCAGTGCCAGTCGAACGTTCCACCAGAGGGAACAGGAGGGTCCGCTTTGTATCTTACGCTACAGTGAAAATGCTGCGAGTGAATAGCTTTGACTCCCTTAGAATCGACTCCCAGATCGGCTGCGAGACCGCAATTTCGCAGCTATTTGAACAACACGCTCGATTTACTCACCGGAGTAATGTAAAAGCTACGGAGATCGAGCCGCAGGGTCGTGGAGCGTCGACTCTCGCCGGGTGGCAGCGGAAGAGGCAACGGACGGTTCTGTCCACGTTCTGTCGTACGGAACGTCAGGCTCGAAGTAGAGACGGAATGTAAACGTGAGAAAAAAAGGGGGAGGACAAATACGTAAGATTCCCGTTCCGTGTGTATCACAGTCGACCAGCGAGTATTACTGAAAACTCGCCGCTCTCACATATGCTTTATAGCCCCCTTGTCGTATCTCGTCGACCTTGAATTCGGTATCTCGTTCGGTCGGCGCGAATGAGTCGGTCTTGCAGAGCTCGTCACCGACGGTCGGCAATGCCGCTGGCACGCCCGTGTCAGCTGATATATATTTACCTACGGCCGCTACCGCGTTGACTTCCAACGCGCCTCCGCTCCCCGCCGGAGCGGTGCTCGGGTCGGCGTAACCGTGACTCGAGGACGACAACACACGAACATGCCGCCGAAGAAGAACGCCGGTGCCGCGAAGACCAGCAAGGGCAAGTCCTCGGAGGAGAGCGGCGGTGGGAAAACGGAGAAGAAAGGAGGGAACGCGGTGAAGGTGAGGTGTTTTTGACACGCGCGATATTTTGCATTCACGCCGCAACCCAGTCAGCAAGATGTCAGCAGATTGACATCAGATTCGTCAGAGATACCGTAGCCGTCCGTGCCCGCGCTTGGCTCCTGTTTTCAGAACAGAATCTGTAAACCATTCGCTGCGAATAGACTGCGGAAACTGAGCAGGTCCAGTTATGCGAGCAGATTTTCTTGTATTTCTGCTGACACGCTGGGCAACGTGTCGAATATATTAGTCGCTGTATGCAACCTGTAGTCTCTTTCTGCCTTCAAAATTTGCAGTGGGCGTTTCATGAAATCTGTTCTGACAGATCTGGCTATCTGGGAAGCAGCGTGTGCGTGTGTCGTGTGTCCATTTCTGTCGATGCAGATTAGACCTCTCGCGATTATTCTCCGAGTCAAATCTACATTGGCAGAAACGTAATTCAAGCAGACTGATTAGTCCAGAGCTACAAATATTGCGTACAAGTATAGACTACCGTTTGCGATGACTGTCGTGCGTGTCTACACATAATTATTCCCCTGGACACAGGTTAGACATATCTTGTGCGAGAAGCAGTCTAAGGTACTGGAGGCGCTGGAGAAGTTGAAGGCTGGTCAGAAGTTCAACGAGGTCGCCGCGACGTACAGCGAGGACAAGGCCAGATCTGGGGTAACGCAAAGAATACGCTTGGTTTCTCTTGGTGCACGAACAATTGGGCGGGTAAACGTATTCGAGACGTTGCACTTTATCCGTTGTCTTTAAGGGTGACCTCGGTTGGATGACGCGAGGCTCCATGGTGGGACCCTTCCAAGACGCTGCCTTCGCGTTGCCGGTTTCCAGCCTGGCGTCTCCGGTTTATACGGATCCACCGGTGAAAACAAAGTTCGGGTATCACATCATAATGGTGGAAGGTAAAAAGTAGTCGAGAGCAATCGCGCAAACTTTTCTAAGCGTTTTTGTTTTTTTGTTTGTTTGTGAAACTTGTTACACCCTCGATTGAGCAAATATATGTTGCGTCATTTAAGTAATGATTTGTACAGAGCATCTGTGATATTTATTATAGCGATAAACGCGTTTTGTATTATCTTACATTTTTGCGTCAAGAAAATCAGGACTCGCGTAGGTGATTTAATGATTCGCGTCTCGCAAATTGACGCGTAAAATGATGTTTTCGAATAATAAACAAAAGTGTTACGTTATTTATCATTCGTGAATTTATCGCTCTCTGAATATACAATAACTAGAGTATAATATTTTATCGTAGGAAAAAAAATATATATGTATATATAAAACTTTTCACAAACTAATCTGCAAATCCTGATCTGCAGTCTCTATCTATTAAATATAATTTTCGATGTATCTACGATTACATCTAGCAATATAAATAGCGATATATTTCCTGAAGACAACAAATGCATGAAATTTCGATTAAATAATTCGTGCTTCTTGGGCAAACGAGATTATGGAGGTATTAAATATTACAAATAATAAATATGTTCTATATACTATTCAGTCGCGTTCGCGATGCCGCATAGATGCGTTTTCGTTGTAACTTTATAGGTGCTTAAGCCCGTTTGAACAAAGGTTGAAGCCGTTCATCGAAGTTTTTCTCCCATTACAAACGGATAGTGGGATTGGAGAAGCGGACGTATCTCAGGAGAGACTCGTTGTCCTCGCAGACCCACGGTTTCTTGTGATGACACGCCACGTCGTGCCAGTTCACTCCGTCGTTGTAAAATTGATTGAGGACCGCAATGCAGTTTTCGGGAGCGCCGCCTTGAATGGCCTCACGATTGTCAGGTTGCGGCACGCCGATGCTGAACAAAGCACACGTATTGTCCAGGATAAAATAATTCTTGCACGCATCACCGTTGCTTTTGTCATTTTGCGTCGCGTGCACATTCGAGGAAGTTAAACCTTGACTATTGACAATGTGCGTGCGTGCGTGCAGAGATCATTGATTACAGAGTAGACAATAACAGGAATTGCGCGATGAGCGGATAAAAAGAGATCTAATCACGACCGTTCGACATCCTTGATCTCAATAATTGAAAGTAGCATTTACACGCTCGCAGCTTTGATGTCTTGATATAAGCGTTCGGATAGGAACGTGTTGTACTCGCGTACATAATTACAGGCCGACGTACGCTACAATACTGCGAATAACTAGAGTCCTTCTAATCAGAGTCTGGCCAACAGGCAGTTTCGGCAAAATAACGCGAGAGCATGTGTTGTATGTAGAGTGAGAAGGAATATATTTCTTTCTCGCAACATTTTGCCGAAGCTGGCCTGTTGGCCAGACTCCGATTAGAGGGATTCCAGCGGATAACAAGTCTTACCCGCCGCTCTCGGACCAATCATTCTGGCTGCGTTCGGTGGTCGGCGCGAGCTTCTGCAACTCGGCGGTCCAGAACCAGCCATTGATACGTGGGGGCTGCAGGTCCGGCCGGTCGCAGCCCGCGAAGTCGCACATGCGACCGGAGGTCCAGATGTACTTCACCTTGTCTGCAAGAGAAACGTCTCATTTCGCCACCCTTTGTCTTTGCTCTCGCCGATACAGGCTCGATTTGCAGAATCATGCGTACTTTGAACAATGCGGCTCTTGATGAACTCGTTCTCGGCGGAGGTTTCCAACGAAACTAGGTCCATACAACGTTGCCGGCAGAAGTTTCTACCCGACAGCCAATCCACCTCCTGTCCGGCCGTCCTCTGGTCGGCCCATGAGAAGTAATAGCCTTTCCCATTGAATCGTTGATGGATAATTCCTGCGAAAAAAAAACCGTAATTAGAAGACGAAGCGAATCAGATAGACAGCAGACAATAGACCCATAATCATTATAAATATTTTTGTGCGCGAGAGAGGTATGTTTACCGGGAAGAGCCGGAGGTCTCTCGCTCATTCCCGGAGTGAAAGTTGCGAAATCAGTGTCAGTCGTGACGGCGACCTCGGCGACCACAGTCACGACCTAGACATTGGCACCCGCGTAGTATGCTGATTACATCGTCACTTTCTAAATAAAGAAAAAGAAAGTTTTCTATGGGGCGTGTCCTGGAACGCGTGGACGGGCTACGCCTAATGAATGAATAATCGATTACCGGTTCCTCGTGTGTGACACATTTTATTTCCGTCTTACAATTAGAGATCTAAGAGCTCACCGATGCTGTTTCAGCCGATGGTTTTGCGCTCGAACTTTACCAACTAGATTTTCAATAAGATTTTGACTAAATGAAGAGAAGCGAAATTCGTCTCAACGAAGACAGAAAAGTTCGAGATAAAAGCAAGGACGTTAAAGAAAATTCAAACTTGTGCTGGAATGCATTTAACATCTTGAAAGATTCAATGATAAATCTTATCTCTGAATTCTCTCGGCAGTGTAGCTCACAAGAACCTGGGAAGCTGACTAGAAAAGATTTCCCAGGCATTTTCATTCCGGAACAAATAAGGTGCAAGCGTTCTAACAGTGTTACATTATTACCACTTGGACTTGACCGAAAACGATAAACGTGAAAGTGCCAACCGACATTCCGTACTACTTACGGCGGGTACGAGGACATTTCCAATTCAAATGCGTTCGAGTTACACCGCCGTCGGTGTCATCGTCACACTTTCTATAACGAGCGCGAACGCCGAGGAAGATGCGCCGAGGTGTAAGACTCTCGGACGGTATCACGTATAATTAGCGCCGGCATCGGTGTAAAAGGATGCGATAGAGACGGGGATGGCTGGAGGGTCGAGAGCGGCGGTAAACGATGACCTCGAAGCAGGCCGAGGCGGAGTAGGAAGCGGAGAACACAGATGGAGGAATCGCGTCACGGGTCACTCCTTAATCACAAATATTGAAAATACTTTCTCTAGTTCGCGGTTCCCTTGGGTAAACGAGGGAAACAGGAAGACTCTCTCTCCGACATGAATCTTCGAGCATCGCGGGAACATATTTATCTCGGCGGAAGATCTCAATATTCTATTGATGGCGATGCCTACGATCAATCTAGTGGCATAAAATTAATAATGCAATAGCAATTTCCTGCATCAGCCGAGAATAATAACGGCATCAAATTATCTTTAATTTTTACGAATTACCTTTAAGTACCTTTAATTTTTAAAACGTAACATAATTAAAAAATTATTTTACAACACGACTACATTTTCTTCACTTCTTTCTCTCGTTCTTCCACAAGCAGTGTACAAGTTAACAGAATAATTTAAACATAAGTTATCCTTATAAGCCGGTTTTACCTTGCTTCGATACATCCTGAAAAACAATCGTGTATAAACGTGAACTTACTCTGCGCGCAAAGTGCTGGATTCGGCGGTTCCAGAACCCGACTGCTGGGTACTTTGTTGAATTGGGCGGAGGACACCGTTGCAAAAGCGGCAAGAAGCACGAGCGCTATCATTTTTCTCTTTTCTACGCTACGGTCATTACAAAAAAAAATACAAAATTAATATTAGGTAACCACTTAAATAACACAAGTGATTATTATAAACTTAAGAGGATTCACTTTTTAAATTCTTTATAAATTCACGTGATCTGTTAAACTAAACTAAAAGAATCCTTTCTAGTAGTCCAAGAAGGATTCCATAGAAATGTATCTTTTGATTTCTTATGGGAATAAATTGAAGTTGTTCTGAATACAAAGAATTCCTTTTGTATTTGAACAAACGCTCAGAATTGACGACATATGAGCGAATTCTTTTTGACTTAAAAAAATGTTTTTAAAACAGAAATGGGATGGAAAAAAGAGTTCATTTCGTAATTCGGGAATTCAAAAGAAATTCTTTGTGGATTCTCTGTGCTATCTGGGCACTCATGATCGTACATATAGTTGGTGAGATCTATTTTGGTTAGAGAAAACTTGAGGTTTTTTTATCGCGATCATTGGCGCCTTTTTCGTTAGCTGTGAATTTAAATGCCCGAACTTTTATGAAGAAGAGCCTCTCAAACCGGTTCCGTAATATCACTGTTATACAGGGTGGCACCTTACGCTCAGTCTTACTCTTTAAGCAGAGTATTTTTCTTACTTTGTGCTCACATGCGCTTGTAGCAAGCCATATATTAAAATATAAATATAATAAATTACAATGAAATATAATATAATATAAAATATTCCGATCCGATCCATTCCCCAAAATTTTAACAGATCGAATATTAAATACAAAAATGTTGCAACGTTTTCTTATTTTAATCGTGGATTAATTAATAATATGAAACTCAATGTTTAAAGCTCGTATCAGCCTACGGAGATTGTGATTAGATTAAAATTTTACCAATTAGAGTAAGGGTCACTAGACTTGGAAACTTTACTCCGATTGGTCAAATTTCAATTTGATCTCAATCTCAATAGCCTGATACAGAATCTTGGTTTAATCTAACTTTTTCTCAAAATATGATCTCCATTGTACAAGATCGTCCGTTGAATTTACCTGATACGATCAGCTGCAATCAAGTATTTTTCTTTCCGATCTCGTCTCTCTCTCTCTTTCGCGACTGATTGCAAGATTACGTCTAACGTCTCCGCGGAAGAAACGTCAGGATCCACTATATGATATTGTCTTGCAGACGTTTCACGAAGAACTGCAGAGCCTTCCTGGCAGGCACCCCTATATATACATAATGAGGACACATCGTGTCAATACTTTTACCACCTGACGAACCACGCGAGCGACGGGTCTTGCCCGCCACAAAGACCTCGACGCACGTTTCGTGGATCGCTCGTTCCTTTCCTCTCTCTCTCTCTCTCTCTCTCTCTCTCCCCCTTTTCCGTAAGAAGATACTCGGGCATCATCGAAGTCACGTTTTCGACGATCTTTCGAGTGAGGTTTCAAAATCAACGTATCCTCGATGCGGGCAGAGCACCTTTTCTCCGAAAAATACGGAACACCAAGAGAGCCTTGTGCGTTAGAAGGGGGAAACAAAAAACTTTCCCGCCGTGGACATGAAAGCGGAAAGTACTCGTGATGACATTGCGGTTGTAGAACGTACCCCTGAAAGATGAAACGAATGGAACAGTTATTGCAGCCACGAAGGGAGTAAAACTCGTGGGACATCATAGGGTAACTTGAAATTAACATGGCTCTTCAAGCTCTTGGCGCCTCGCGATATTTTCTTAGAACTTAATCACCCGGACGTCTGCTTCCGATTTTCGTTTGTTTGCGAGAAGCCGATTAAATTGGCTATAATCTATTAAGTAGTTCGTGTCCAATATCCCGCAAAAGGCCACGGTTACTTTCTAGAAGACTTGGAAACGGAAATGCTTTACGTCTAACGGAAATTTCACATTTTGATCTTACACTTTGAGCCCGACAAAGGACTAAATGCTAAAGGACTCTTTCAAAAGAGTTCAAAGATAACAACAACATTTTATTCTAAAATATTTTGAGATTTATTCCCGGAGTATACGGCATCTTCAGGTTTTAAAGACATGTCTTTTTTAAGTTCGTATACTTTTGCGCGGGTTATGTGAAAACTGGAAAGTAAAATCTCTGTTTGCCGATGCTGAGTGAAAGGGGAGTACACGAAAGCATGGAAATTGAAGTAACGCCGCGCGTCAAAAGTTCTCGGGGAAAAAAGGTTAGCATTCCGCAATACTCGCAAATATGTGGCATGGATTAACGACCCGTTCGGCCCGATTCGTGTTTGCCTATTTGTTCAAGACGGCCGTTTGATTGCGTTTGACGCATCGATGACTTTGCGAGAAAACGTGAACTTTCGCTAACACGCCCGTTGAATTTTAAGCGGCTCGTTCGGACATTTTTACGGGTCCATGCGTCTAAAGCCGATTCTACATTGATCGTATTGTAGCGTCGCAAGCGTCGAAAATTATATGGCGTATTCGGTTGCTTGCACTAGTACGCACCCAGTTGTTTCTCGTCAATTCTTATATTCAAAGATCATCTTAAATACCTCTTGCAATATTTCTTATCCAGAAAAATGATCTATACAACGTTTGTATGGATCATTTTTTGACTAACAATAAGTGCTCTTTGAACATGTATTTAAGACAAAGTTAAATATAAGAATCGACTATAAGCCTTGGTGTGCGCTCAATGCACACTAGTTCAAGCAACCGAATTCGCTGTTAGATTCGATCAATCGGCGTCGAATTGGAACCACTTTACGACCCTTGCTTTGCTACGATACGACCAATGTAGAACCGGCCTTAGAATTTAGAACCAGTCCACGTAGAGAGAATTTTCCCTTAAAATTTATCCTGAAAATCATGTAGTCGTGGGACAACACGGCATTTCGAAGAACCGTATGAGTTTTTCGAAAGTTTACCATACATTTTACTAGTAAAATAGATGCAAGAAAATGAAAGTTCTTCAAAATGCCGCGTCTCGCAATCACATGATGTTCAAGGTGAATTTTAAAAGAAAATTCTCTCCGTGCACGACCCTTGCGACACTACGATACGACCAATGTAGAAACCGGGTGAACGCGCGAGTCGACCGGCTCGCAGGGTCTCGTCCTTACAACTTCTTGACAACTTTTCCTTATGTGCGACGCTCGACTCCTGCAAATTCTCACTCTGCAAAAGTTCGGTTTAGAATTAGAAATGTTACTTTTGAAATTAGCTGCACGAGCAGCTCAAAATTTTCGAGACTGTGTATAATTTAAAAACGAGATGTTTAATTGTTTGTAAGAAAATTGTTTGAGATCTAAAACGACTTTAGGAATAGTGACGCTAGTTACGTTCATTGTCGGCTGATTAATCTTTCGTTATTGAGTAAGCTTGGATCGTTTGCTTTTCTTTGTCTCGGGCACGTTTACGCAACACCTTTTACCGGCATGTAAGACAAGAAGAAGCAACACTGATAATGTTCATGTGACTTAAGTTTCTTCTCAGCAAAGTGGATCTGAAGAAAATAATAAAATAGAAAATTCATTACTTTTTTTTGTCGAAACCAAAAGCACAAGAACAAGAAGATGGAAGGGGACACGTACTCATCTAATTTCTGCGTTTAGATGCTCCATCAGTCTGCCAAGAATTATCAATCTTCATTTAAGCAATGTTATCTGCTAACTCTCGCGCTCTCTTCGCTTTCCTTAACGTTTATTTCACATAAACTTCGTGTTCAAAATAATCTCATCTACGACCTCTCGAACGGCCATGTGATCTTATAACTTCACCGACGTCTTTCCGCCTACGCCCGACATTATCGACCGCCGGCAAACGCGGATGCCGACGGTACCGACCGCGCGGGCGCGCACGCGCCGTGCGCGCTCGCGGAGTCCAATGCTTTTTTTATTCCAAACAAACGCTCCGACGAGTGTTACATGTTTTCGTGGGTCCGCTGCGGAGTAAACGGACACGCGCGGAACGCGCCTCAGCCGCTGCTCCCGTGGACGAGGACGAGGTAATCGCCGTGCGGTCCGGCCGGTCGCGTCATCGATTGGCGGTGCGTCGGAGCAACAAGTCGCCCGCCTCTTGCCGCCAGCGCGGTCGCGGCTCCTTCGTTGCGCGAGCGTGGACCCAACATGTCCGCTGCAACCCGGATCAGCGTTGTCCCCGGGATCCCGTACGCGTGCGGCGCGGTGCGATGATGCGCGCGCGACGCACGCGGCCTTAGGGGGAGAACGCGATGCGTCCACGCGCGACGTCGACGACGACGACGGCGTACGACGTTCCCGCGCGCACCGACGGCGACGACGACGACGACGACGGCGGCAACGGCGGCGGCGGCGGCGGCCGCCTCGCACCTCGCGCACCGACTGACGACGATGACGGAGCCGGAACTGTGCCGGTTGTGCGCCGAGACCAGGGAGAATCTCATCGGGATCTACGACGCCGAGGGCCAGAAGCTCGCGATCGAGGCCAAGATCGCCAAGTGCCTGCAGATACAGGTACAGCTGCTGCGGGCGGTCTGCAAAAAAAACCCGTCGCTTCTGTAAAGCGTCGTCCACCACGCGTGGAGTAAACCTGATATACGAAGTAAGAGTAGGAGTAAAAGAAATAAGCAAAGTAAGCGTAGAAATCAAGATTGAGATAGCGCTGACTGACTGCGACTCTGATCAGTGTAACATAGGGTGTGTTCGTTTTAACTGGCTGCACCAGTTCAGAATTTATCTTTCTTCCTCCACGTTGGAGAGCGAAAGGTAATCTCTCAACTGGTACAACCAGCTCGGCTGTAAAGAACGGACCTGTAAGCGCAAGAGCTGGCGTAGAAGAAATTAAAAGTTTGTTTTCACTTATGTTCTTACGTCAGCTTTCTTACGCCGGAAGTGGTTCTCTTGCTCCTATTTACTCCAGGTTTACCCCAAGTGTTGTAGACGACTCTTGAAAACCAACTGCTTGATCTAAGAAGATTCAAGTGCACTCCTGTCATTTATGTATTTAGTGCTTCTTCTGAAAATTATAAATCAAACGACAGAGATGTCAGTTTAGAGGCAAACTTTGCGTGCAATATTGTTTTTATATTTAATAGTTAACGTAAATCGTGCAAAGGTAAATTTTGGGTCCGTTTCATTTTCGTCAGAATAACAAAAGTATACTTTTTGATACGTTAGAAAGTAGCTTGCTCGTAGGCTCCACTTTCTTACTTTGCAAATGTATTCCCGATGTACTTTTATCCGCAGCAACGACTTTGTTACGCTTGTGCAGGTTCTAATGACAGACGGTTTGCCGCTTGCGGTTTGTATTGACTGCTGTGATTTGTTGAACCAATGCAGCGAGTTCTTTGAGAAGACCAATCAAGCACAAATATCTCTAAGACAATTGCTGATAGATCCAAAGTCCGAGCCACAACCGATCGAACCAAATATAGAGTATGTGGAGGAGACTGTAGAGTTTCCAAAGAACGAGGTTAACAATAGGGAGCAGATTGTCCATTGCCAATTACCTGGCAATTTCATCAACGAGACGGTCAATATTTTAAACACTTCCTACTTCATCGAGGGATGTAACAAAAACGAGAATACCGAAGCTCAGGCGATGCAAGATAGCGCGAAGCAGAAGAAGTGTAAGATGCAGATAAAGAAAAGCTCTCCTAAACAGACCAAGAAAAAACTGAAGAAAAAAGGCCAGATGCAAAAGATCGAAGAGGAGTCCGAGCTTAGCCGCATGTCTTCTCAAATGGACAAGGAAGACAATGAGGCAACTCTGAAAGATAACATTGAAATCGTAGATAATTATATGCCAGGTAAGCGTACCTTGTTTTATGAAAAATGTATTTTCATGCTGTTTACTTAATTTTTTCATTGCCATACGAGCTTACAAACGATAATTATTGATACTATATTATCATGGATCTAATATGATATGTATTTTTCAAGTAGAGACAGAATCAAATTTAGAAATAAGAGAAACACGAGCGGTGGAGGCAACGAAGCACGGAAGAAAAAAGACGGAAGGTCTGGACAGATATCCTTGGCTATGCACAGATTGCAACGACAAATTACCGTCTCTGGAAGCACTAGAGGAGCATCACGAAACGGTGCATAATCAACAAGCCAAGTATATGTGCGTGCAATGTTGTAAGGTTTACGACAAATATTATGGGTTCCTCACTCACGTTAAGAGGCATAAGAATAAGGCGAAGTTCAAGTAAGGGTCGTTTGCCGTTGTTTCTCATGCGACATCTTTGTGATCTTTTTGTTAATAATATTTTTTTTCAGCTGTGACGATTGCGGAAAATCATTTGTACATAAAAAAGTATTAGAGTCTCATAAGGCTGTTCACAGCGAAGAACGGCCATTTGTGTGCCAAACTTGCGGTAAAGCTTTCAGACAGCAAAGTGCTTTATGTATCCATAATCGATGCCATTTGCCTGAGACCATGAAGAATAGATTTCCATGCGATCAGTGTGATAAAAGGTATGGCGTTATTTTTTTGACTTCAGGAAATTTTTATGTATTAATCAGAAAATTAATTTTTTCTTTCTTTTTTTTTTTAGGTTTTCGACGAAACCAAATCTTGTAACACACAAGCGCATTCATTCTGGTGTGAGGAACTTTACATGCGATCAGTGTGGCAAAAGTTTCATACAGAAAGGGAATTTAGAGGCTCATTTCCTAACTCACTCGCCAGATAAGCCATACAATTGCTCCCAGTGTACAAAGGCGTAAGTAAATACGTTATTCTTTTTCTTCCTTAGTTTTGCCCAAGTTGCTTTAAGGTCTAATACTTTTTTTATGTACAAATAGAGCTTTCCGCCCATCTTTAACAGTGTAAAGAATAATGTTTAAATATCAGAATATAAAAGTAAGGGTATAAGAAAGGAAAGAAAACAATTTACCGTTCTTGGAATGGAAATACAATAGAGAATGCAATTTACCTTCCTTTATACGCAAATCTTCAACTCACATATAATCTTTTATAAACCGATGGGATAAGAGTTGGAATTGAACTCGGGATCTGCTGAATTAGCCACTCGCACAAAGCCACGTGTTACCGCGAAGTAAAAGTATAATAAAATTGCAGATTTAAAACGCCCCTGCAATTGAAGAAACATGAGACGGTGCATACCGGCGCCAAGCCGCATCAGTGTGCGGTATGCGGACGAACTTTCAGAGAGAAGGGGACTTTGAGAGAACATCACAGAATTCATACCGGTGCGATGCCGTTTACTTGTGAATTCTGCGGGAAGTGCTTCCGTTTCAAAGGGATATTAACTGTGAGTTGTGTCATTTACTAGATCTAATCGCACGTTGCTCAATTTAATGCGATCATTTCACAATCGTAGACGCACAGGCGACAACATACCGGGGAGCGTCCGTACAGTTGCCTCGAGTGTCAGCATCACTTCACAAATTGGCCAAATTACAACAAGCACATGAAACGTCGACATGGAATCAATACTTCTCACACTAAGCATCTGACCAATAATCAACAATTGCAACAGCAACAGTCGACAGAGCAAACGCAATCGCCTCAGATACAGCAGCAGTCCGCTGCAGAGGACACACTTGCCATACCTCACACAGAGTCAACGACAGCACAAGTAAATATAATTTTTTGTTAGCTAAGTGCCGTTTGTTTCATTACGTCACAGTTCTGAATGGCTCGAAATTTCCAAACTGCTTTCATTAGCGACAGTTATATTGTTATGAGAATGACGGTTGCGCTGTGATCGGTATCTTCTTGCTTGTGCTCGAGAGTGGAAAAGGAGGCTCCTAGCGACAGGTCCTTCATTTCAGCCCAGGAAAAATTTCTTTCAGAGTGTATCTTATGATTCGTTGTTCCGGAGCATGTGCCTGTGAAAAAGCATAAATAAAAAATTAGAAAAAGATATGTTAAAACATGCTCTGCATTCAAGACTAAATTGAAATATCTGAGCAAACGCGAATCTCTTTTGTTTAAATAACTTGTATACGTCGACTGATGCAAATGGTTATTTTAATGCTGTGTTCTTACAGGTAATACAAGCAGTTCCTCACGCCTCAGCATCACAATCGATAGTTCTCGAAACTCAACTTCCGACGACTACTATTCAGACAACTACTATTCAGACTTTCCAAACGGACGTCACTAATACTGTCCAGGAAACGGTATTCAGAGACCGAAACACGTATTTTAATCCAGTGTTACAAAACTTTTTGCCAGCGAACTTGTCGTATAACTTTTATAGCATTCCTACGGAGAATGATTTAATTCAACCTAGATAAAAGTGTTCGTTAAAGTTAAGCTTGAGTAAAGACGACCATGTTTTTGTGCCGATTGGTCAAGTTCGAAAAGCAATGACATATAACATATTAAAATCAAATTTAAATTTGCCCAAAAATGCGAGATTAAACGGGATCTTATATATATACAGGGTGGGCCATTTTAATTTATACAGTCGATTTTTTAAAAAACTAAAAGAGATATGAAAAAATGTTTCAGACAAAAGTTGTATGGTTTCGAGGGGGACATAAGATGGTACCATAGGTTTGACCTTGAAGAGTAATTTGAAGGTCACATGAAGGTTACCTTCAATTTCTTAAATGGAACCTACTATTTTTCGTTACATATTCTTGTAGGTTATCTCGAGAGCTTTCCAAAACACTATAATAAAGTATTTTTTTATTAAGAACTTTTTGAGTTATTAAGGTTTGAAAGTTTCAATATTTAGACGTAAATTACAAAATATCTTGTAAAATATTCATTTTTTTATCATCTTACCTTAATACTTTTTTGAACAGAATAATGATACAAATCAACTGGTGTAAAGAAAACAAACAATTTTGTAACAAGCAAAAAAAAAATTTTTTTTAAATTGCTTGTTACAAAATTGTTTGTTTTCTTTACAC